GATAACGGTCGTCCGTTGCTTGAGAAGAAATGTCGCTCTGAGGCACTCGTCTTAACCTCACTGCTCTCGCACAAGTGGTAAGTAAGAATCAACTGAAAATCCGACAAGCAGCACACTATTAGCTTCCACAGAACATATTTTTCAAGTAACCACTCCCTTGCTGCTCCATGGCATAGCTGCCTCCTGTTCCTGTTTAATGTGGTTCTGTGTAAGGGCTAACGTCGATTCTATGCAGTCTAACGCAAGTGCATCACAAACTCGTGATGATTTGGCACGAGTGCTTTACCATAGCATCTTGAGGAGAAAGAAAACATGGCTGGGAAACTTCAGGGGAGATGGCGTTTTTGCCCCGCAGTTCTCGCGCATAAATTTACGAGAAAGTTTCAAGTTTTGGTTGGGTATCAATCCCCAGTGCCCTATCTCACCCTGCTTCCTTGTCCATCGACATCAGTAACAACATGAGACTATTCGGAAACAGCGCACATTGTAGGGTGTGTGCTTTGCTTTTTCAATGCTGAAATATCTTGTTCTTAGTTGAGGGTGTTATCAACAATTGAATCCTAAAGGCTTAGTGACTTCTACGCACCTCAGCTTTCCTGAAGCCTACTGACATCAATCACTAAATATCAAGCTGACCGCCTCCCCCATACCGCACTTTCTTTTTTCTTGGAACCTCTACTCCTCTTACGACAAATGTAATTGTTTGTTCCTAAAGCGATCAAGTTTCACAAGAGGCCCTTACGGCCATATCTTGCTTGAACGGCTATTGCCCATTTATCTTCTTCGAAAAACAACCCTTATTTGGTCAGCGGATCCTAGATTTATGGTCGAACATCACAATTATGCCAGGGGGCGAATCTCCATCAACAATTTCAGTATCTTCAGTATATGAATGATAGATCGGGGTACGAAAATAACCAGACAAACATATTCCCACCATAGCTCACTGGTCTGAGAATTAACTACAGTCCATTTGACTACCAGGCTACGATGGTCGATAGATCAGACAATTGAACGACGTTGATTTTCCTGTATTGTCAAGCAATGAGTGGTCAGAATTGCTAGAAGTAAGCCTAGCTGATGTACTGTGCATGGACTTTACTGGCGGCTTTTGCTGTTCAAAGGCCTTTTTGACTTCTATGTTGTACCCTGAAAACCCGACTGTTTGGTTTGTTTCTGCAGCTTTCCATTTCGGCGCTCCGACATCGACATATCTGGAATGGAGAGCTCATCTCGCTTATCTCCATCGGCGGAGCCTAATATCCAAGGCTCAACAATTTATAATACTGTACATGAACTGTACATTACAGGCCCTACTCCAGAATATGCGCATCATTCCCACAGACCTATGATCTGCGTTCTCTGATAATTTCTGTTCTGGCCAGGCATCGATGTCTAATATTTCTCGCATTGCTCCCTTCGAAGGGTTCGTGGCTTATTTCAAGCGCACCTATCATGCTATAAGATTTTTAGCTTCCCAGCACAAAGAACCCCTCAAAAAGCATTTTAGCATCCTGACTTACCAATAAAGGGTCCAAGTGAGGATAATTCAAAAACTGGATTCTCGTGCGACCATTTACGTGAAGAATGGGTCAATATGGTGGGCACTTCAGTATTCTTCGCATGCAGTAGTATGTCCCACACACGGGAACCGAGCGCCTCATCAAAAGAGCTAATTTACTGAATGTTTACATAGTTTACTGTCGTTGCCCTCTCGGAGCTACAGATCATTAATTGCCTGACTTTGTTGCAGCGGTACTTTGCAAATTCCTTTTAACGACCTTGTAAGGATTTATACTGCCATGTCGATTGCTGCCATTACCATTTGCAAAGTCTTCCCACCATACTCGAACGGCAGACACTACCACTTGCCTAATTATTTGAATCTCATCATTTTAAATTCCATTTACGGGGTGGTGGTTAATAGGCCGATGTTACCCTGCCCAGTCGTTAAGCGTCCACTTCAAGTTCATTTCACCTTCAACTTTTATATCAATTTCACCCTTTCAACTTCCTCTATCATCTTGTTTTAAGTTTCATGATACCGGCACATCTATCGAGCTCTAAACCCAAGTTCTTCCATTTAAATGTGTATTCTCTCATCAAACATGAGTAAACTTGAGAAACTCGAGTTGACCGAGGAGAGGTTGGCACTGCATAATAAGCTCTATAAACCGGTATATTCCCACCCACTTAAGCATGCTAATGATGTTTACTTATCAACTTTCCTTAGAGTCCGGAAACTCACTCGAGACATGCGAGTCAGCTGGTTGAAATGGAGAGAATACAGATGAGCTGCTTAAAATCGGCCATAGATTTGTCTAAAGAGGATCGACTGTCAAATTCCTCTCTACCAATGGAACTGGAATTTTCTCGGACCGCGGAATCACTCACCAGCCTTTTTGAAAAGGAGAGTGAACCATTCAACAAGAGCCCCCTCGAGCATCCATTAGAACGGTACTTGACGCCGGGTGATCTAAGTGAACCCAGCTACTTTGCGATACAGGCATTAAAGGAGTATGGATTTGAATATGGGTCACACGCCTCGGTTGATGCCAGGAAGAGACTGGGACGCCTCAACTATGAGTCGGCAAAGTTGAATGCCAGAGCAGCGCAGACGGTAAATAATACCTGTGATAATCGTAAAAGGTAAATCGCCATAATCGTTCGAGTTCCTTCCCCTGTGGACTCCACTTTAGACTAATCCAACACTCTATTAGCAGGGTCAAGCAGTCCATTACGAAGAGGTAACGATTGCGCCGAAGTACAACTGAATTTATAACTATAAATGGATGGGTCTGGAAGTCCAAGTTTTCTGACGTTTTTCTCGGGTTTTTTTTTTTTTTTTTTTTTTTTTTTTTTTCATGTCTTCTCGCTTCACCCCTTTCTTCAGATATTTCCCCCTTTTTCCCACTTTTACACCTCCATTTTCATGGATTCGGTTGCGATCCAGGCTCCAGATAGCAAGTAATTCCTAAGACCAACAAAAGAGAGAAAGGGCGGGGATTTAAAGAAAGGAGAAGAGAGCGAAGTGCACGCTAATGAACTCCCTTCGTGCCACACTTCACCTGCGACGCATCGACTGCGCCACACAATCAAGCTCACCAATACCACATAATCTACGCCGTAGTTACCGATCCTGCGTCAATTTTCATTCGGCTTCTTTCTTTCTTCCTGCCACAAATGATGGAGTGTATTTAATTTAGTTGCTCGAGGCATTTCGAATGACATTTCGCGCTCTCCCTCTTAAAAATATAATGCAGGCATAAAGTTGCTCTTCAACCTATGCCATCACTATGATAGTTATAACCTTGTAAACATCTACCTTCTTGACACAATTGGTTGTAAACTTATTTGAAGTCCAAGCCAAGTTTGAGCTCAGATTTTGCCAATGATTTTTCCTCTCCGAGAAGCAGAAGAACATATGGAGAAATCTCGTCAGAGGTATATCTCGGGCGGGGCGCGCTAGTTTTTCGCAAACCTCACGACGGAGCGACAATATTTGTTCTGGAAGCGGCGGGGCTAAACTTGGGAAAGCATTATTATTCTGGTTTAGGGCGGCAGCAAGTGTAGTAATTGAAGGGTCGCCAGTGATATCGCCTTTGGCGCTCTCAACCGTCACAGGAAAAGACAGTACGAAATATTTCGGCATCCCAAGCTCGCAACTATGTCTGGAAATTGGAGTGATCTTTGACAGATCTTGGCCAGGGATGTATTATGGGTCCATCACAGAATCATCGGTTTTTCTCTGTTTCGTGAAAATAGGGGATGGAGGACACTGCCTGCAGCCAAAAACGTTAGTCCACCAACATATTGAAGGTAGGTTGAGGCTCTGCAACGATGGGCCAGCCGGACATCAGCATTGTAAGCTCTCGATAAATTTCCCGGATAAAAAGGAGAGTTCGGCGATGAACACAGCCTGAATCGTAATATGAGTACCAAAGCTAAACCGCCTCCGATGACTGAGTTTCTGGGCTTTATTGGCTGTTGTGTCTTGGATGCATTTCTTCCGCCCTAAAAGATCATCATCAAAATATTGCTTCCGGTTTTGTGTTCCTTCAGCCCCACCCTTTCCGGTGCTGGTACCAGTAGCTTTTTTTGCATTGAGTCTTAGCTGAATGGCTAATAAGCGTATTGAACTGTAGGATGCTGAGCTCCGTTCAGCCAGGTTTTACTGTTATGCTGGTTGAAATTGACAGCCAGCAGGGATGAGCCAAACCCAGAGAAGCGTAGATCTCTTTCCTTTGTGACAACCCACCGGTTGATTCGAATGGTGCCTCTCCTGCTGCGCCTCAAAAAAGGAATCTTGATGCTTAGGATCATGTTACAACATTGGTTTTGCAGAAAAACCACAGGACATAGTAAATCAAACCAACGGTTTTGATATTGATTTTTCGAGGTAACTTACCTACTCTCATTTAGTAAGTGACACAGCTATAGCACTGACAATTTGCAAAAACATGTCCCGTTTCCACCAACCCATCTGCTCGCTCCTGATCTTCGAAAGGGAATTAGGGTTGTTTACATCACGTGAAATACGTTGAGTGAATTAAATCCAAGGCAGGGAGTTGTGCAACGTACTGTATATCTTGCTTCTGGCAGCTCACCAAGGAAATGTAAAAGACAATTGGTAGCTTGGGTTAAATTGCCTTTGGATGAACTCCGCTGCACAGATGATAAGCCCCGGCATTCACCTAGCAGGACAGAATAGCGCGAATTTTCGCTAAATAACCGAAACAAAAGCATCGTGTGCTCTGATGGCTTGATGAGCAAACCGAATTGTCGTGCTATTTTCACCTGTACTTGACCTGTGTAAACGAAGGGGTACGTCCAAAGTTTGGGCTAGGGCAATATGAAGATAACCATGTGAGAATCTCTGACAGAATACAGCAAATTTAACTGCGAGTAGCTGGTGTAGACAAAAGTTGAATTTATCTTTTAGTGAGAACTTATGTTGTTTGCCTCCTCCCCTCGCCTCAAGGTGAACTTCTCAGTAGGCTTTCTTTCTGGATGAATGCAAGCGGTGCTATACGATACACTCTAGCCTCAATCTCAACCATCAATGGATACACCAAGTCACATGCAACGATGTTTATCAAGTCGATATTTGATGAGCTTTCCACTAGAAGGCCTTCTGCCACCTGAACACGTCACTTTTCCAAACACGGGCTTGAGGCGTACAAAGAATTCCGATTATGTTTTGTTGGCTCCAAGAAGTGATGGCCACCTGGGAGAAATGGCGATGATTGTCAGGACGCAAAAACCGCTTAGCTGCTGCGCTGGGCCGAGCGGCTCAAAGACGCAGAGTAAGCGCCGAGAATCGCTTGCGATGGGGATGCCGGGGGTCTCATGATTTCCAAGGTTATGGAGAGTGATAGTCACGCGAGAAAAGGGTTGGCTTACTAGGATTATTGAGGCGTGCGGTTAACTCGCTCATTCCAACAGCGGACAGCCTTTCACAGCAAGGGCGTCTAGGGAGCAAACTGGCTGGAGTTTATGGGACGATTCATTTATCCGCCTCACGACAGGTGATAGAGGATTATTTTGAGAGAAGTCTAGCTGAACATTCCCAGGAAGGCAGAAAAGCACCAGAGAGTAAGTAGCCTTGGGCCGATACACATACAATACGCCTGACAATGCTCAGCCAAGCACCGCGTATTGGCTGCCTCCATCCCTGCTTCCCTTACATGAGTCCAGCGGCCATAGGCGCTGAGAATGACCCCATTGAACCGGCTCAAACACTCGATTTAATCGCGGGAAGTCTCTCGCTGTTACGCCCTCCGGGTTTTGATGATTGGTGCTTGCTCCTTTTACAATCAAAAACATGGACTAACGAGCTTCATCAGATGGTCCCATCCTGTCCCTGAAAATAGCGTTTCCTCTGTTTTCTGATGCCCTCAGCTTAGGTTAGGGTTTGGAAATTGATTCGCTCATGCTCTTCCACTACATTAAACGCACCGATGAAGCGTGAGGACGAAGTGACTCCGCAATCATTATTCCAACAGCGGTGTAGCCTGGATTTTCTGGTTCATTCCACCCCGTGTATGTACGCGATGCCTCGTGCTAGAGATATACTGGCCAGTCTGGCTCCGCTCGATCCAACAATTGGGCGCAAACTCAGTGAAGCCCAATCCAATGAACCCTCCCTATTGCCAAGCCCATTCCGCAACTGCGCACCCACGCACCCACAAGCGATTTCCGCACCGTTAGCCGACCACAGTACACCCTTCACTGGGTAGTTCCCGGAATTAATCCCATTCATAATAATAAATATCGCTCCAGGCCAAGGGAAATCATGATTCGGTTTTTTCACAAGCGTGCTCTGCTATCGAGATTTCCCCACTCCAGCAGAAGCAAAATTTCCTGCACGTCCCTTAGTCAAATGTCATCTTTCTCAACTCAATTTCCATTCGCCCACCTACCTGGCTTCGGTCTTTGACGACACTATCTTCACGAGATACTATCACAGCCTGCAAGAACTTGATAAAGGGCCACACGTGATCCTAAAAGGAGTCAACTTGGATTCGGACGCTGAACTGCTAATATCGCACCATATGGAGCCGGAATCGTTTTTTTCCATTGCATGAATTTAACCCCTCTTGAGCAAATTTAATGTCGACAATCCGGGACAGAGACGGCCGAACTATAGCAAACAATTCCACATCGCTTCTGATTTTTGCTAATCTGTCTCATTCAACCATTGGAATCACTCGTGGAAAGGGGAGATTCAATTTCTCCCCATACGTACAACAGAAAAAATGTCCATCGGACACCCATCAATTGCCAATTTCCCGGACTATATTGGAAATGGATCGGCCCAGCGAACATTGCCGTATAATCGATATCGTACCTCGAATTTGGATCCCCTCCAGTCTGACGAATCCCAGATTTTGAATACAAGCAGATCCAACTTTGGGCAAGAATCTATGCCAACAAGTGATCGATCCTCCCATTTGATGGCACTAATGCAACCCGGTTATGATATATATGGAAACTTACCTCCGTCTGGTTTTCAATACGGAGGTCTTCAGAATCCTTATTTTGATTCACAGCTCGGGGAGGCGTTCAGCCGGAATGTAGGATATCCACAAAACCCGAATCCAGGGATGTACCTAGAAGACTCTCTGTTAGAGAGCGGGTTTCAGATACCTCATTACCATTGCCAACCTCTCCAAGCTTCGAGAATTGGATCGGCGAATAACACAGACATATTTAATGGCTGGTTTCCTCAAGAGCCATCGGACTCATATCCTTGCCCTGATGGGATTAATATAGACAAGCATTCCACATCGATTGGACAAGCCACTAAAGTCGCCCATCCGCAAACGGCGCTAGAAGACGGCGGCAGTTGTACAGGTCATCGGGTTGGAAACGCACCATCCACTGCGGACTTGAAACTCGAAGGTACATCGAAAAAGGCATCGAAAGGGAAAGGAACTAGGCATAATATCGCTTCGAGGGCTTTTCGTTCAGCATCATCAAAAAAAGAAAACCGGCCGAAGGAAGCGAAATGGCCATTTATAGCTCAAAAATTCGATACATCTTCTGGAGAACCTGAAGCCGTGGGGACAAAAAGAAGAAGGAGAACGGCGGAGGAGAAGCGTGAAACTGCCCAAATCCGGAAACTTGGTGGTGCTTGTGAGGATTGTCGTAGAAAACATCGCCGTGTATGTTCTCAACTGTCTACCCAAAGGGCCTGGCATCATGGCTAACTAACGTTGGATTTCTATTTAGTGTAGCCCGAAGCATCACCAACGGGGCACTCCGCTCTCAACACAGCACGCCACAAGTAAGTATGTTATTTCGATATCCCGCAACAGGGTGGTTCCTTCAAGCGCGCACATGCAGAATGACTTGGGTTAACAGCATAATAGACTCGCCCCAGTTGTTCATAAAGCCAGTCCCGACATTCCCAGGTTACTCCCATGGCTTCTATCCGTCGACCGGCAACATGTCCATTACCGCATCTACTCCAGTGGCACAACAGGAAATTGATGCCGCAGCACAATTAAGTCTTAACCATGCGACATTTGCCATAGCAAGGACGGGAGCCAATTCCGGTAGAATCACAACTAAATAGTGTATGGTGCAATCAGGTTGTCCAATAGGTTTTCTTCTTTCTCAAGAGGGATATAAAAAAAAATACCGGAAATAGTCGTATGTCCCAGTCCGCGGCGGCGTTAGCTGATTGTCCCAAAACCAATACATTGACAACAACTGGATAGCCTTCGACGGTACGTATCACTCTTTAGAAACGCCTTTCTAAGGATCAACGAACCATCCTCGGCACAGCTTCTAACGGATTTCCAATATAGTGGGCCACAAACAGGGCGACCTGAATCGAAGCTCATGGCGGATAGCAATCTACCAAGCATATAAGGAATAATCATTTCTCCTCGTTATTGAAAGGAAATTGTATATCCCTGAACTCGCAGTGATTGGGGTTTTAGGCGTGAGTATCTAGGAAAGATTTCAACTTGGGCGCCAGCGCCGAGATCTGTTCCAGACGCCTTATTTTTAAATTTATACTTTATGTGTTCATTTTTTTGTCGTTCAACATTTCAAGGGACTCATCATCTGAAATCAGGCAAGGTGTCAGCTATCTTCCCCAGATAACCATGGGCAACCTGGATATAATATTCAAATTGGACATTTTGTATGAGAATCTATGGCGTCTATCTTCTCATGTGTTAGTACAGAATGACTGACTGGCAGCAGCGCCCTGCTTACCACATATTAATATTTAATGCATATTATATTTCAATGTTGTCACAAGGGAGCCGCAGCTTTAGTAACTCCAGCACTCCGAGCAACAGCCTTATTCCGCACAACAATTTCCACAGGGTATTTCCATTCCATCATTTTTGCCCATCCTGCAAATGAACACAAATTAGTTAGTACGTAGAGAAAGAAGTGAAAATGAGATCAGATTCCTTTCGTTCACGATTCTCATAACGTAAAGAGGATGGATGGGGCAGGGAAAGCAATATATGGATTCCATTGGATCCGAACGTACCCCAGTACGCACACTTTCTTCCTAGATATTTGCCAACAAATGGTATGATCACCATAGTTAAAAGCAACTCCAGCTGTTGTATACTTTCTTTCCACTCCCTCTCTGCATCTGACTCCTCGTCCCCATCGCTGAAGTCTCCCTCGAGGGAGGAATCGGACGCGGAAACTGAGGGCAAGGACTCGACTTCATCTTGATCCGAGAGTGAATTGAGTCCTGTGGCTAACATATAGGATGCGGATGAAGCGGAGGGAGAAAATGAGGAGTCAAAATTGGAAGATTGCAGAGGTGACGATGACATGGTGGAGGTAGTGGCGAGTGATCAGAATCTTAGAGATAAACCAGGGGATCAAGCTGATGGAATCGACTGCGAAACAGGGTGGATTACAGCTAGGGGAGAGAGAGGGCGCGGTATTGCACCGCAGTTATATCGACAGGCGCATCGGCCACTCAGACGTTGAGGCAAGGTTTGCAAACAAGTGTCAATTTGCAATGCCCTGGATTTCAAGCTCGTCCTGTCCTCTTCCTCGAATGCATCCTTGGCTACGGGCTTTTGGGGCGATCGGCTTGGGTATCATGTGATGTAAATTTTTAAGTCACGTGCATGTAACAATTTTTGGGTTATCAGTCGCCTCGTTCCAGCGATGAACTAAGCCCTCAACAGGCTTTTCTCGATATCTCAACTCATTTCCGTTATCTCTGCGACACTTGAGTATATTATTTACGCTCCAGTACTGTGTTGCGGGCTTTCTAGGACAATAACCATGGCTGATGCGGTACGCGCATCCCACAATTTTGCCGATGACACCCACATTGAAGTTTTTACAACCTTCCATATCCTTTCTAGCCTGGCTGTGGATAATCTTCAATGCCCCGCCCCAATAAAGGCTGCTTCTTTATGGCATATGAAAGTGACCACTAATTATTTTGCTGTTCAGGACGCTCCCCTTGTCGAAAAGAAACACAGAAAATCCGTTGCGTTCAGCGAGGGAACAACAATCATGGATGCGAACGGAGCAATCTCTGAGGCTAGCCATTCCGATGACAAAACTACTGCTGAGAGGCATTCTGCTAGTATGTCATGATCCACCCAGCGGCCCTTTTCCTCTCGATCTTGGTTTTCCATTTTGCTAATGGTTTCACACGCGCAATCAGCCTCGCCCGACAAGGAAGTGGACGAAGTAACCGAGCTGTTCAAGGGACTTTCGAAAAAGAAAAAGACAAAGAAGACGAAAGATGCAGATGCCGAAGCTAACGCGGACGGCGAGTTTGACCCCTCGATGATGAAAAAGAAAAAGAAGAGCAGCAAAAAGGCAGCCGACGGTGACTTCGAAGCCAAACTCGCGGAGGCTGGGCTGGCCAGTGAAGAAACCGCGCCAGAGGAGAAACCGTCGACCGAGGAGATCGTCAGCGACATCGAAAACGGCAGAGGTATCTGGGCCCACAACGCTACACAGCCTATTCCATATAACCTGCTCGTCACTCGATTCTTCACGTTGATTCACAGCCATCACCCCGATATCCTCTCAAGCGGTTCCAAGTCATACAAAATCCCTCCACCGCAGTGTCTGCGTGAAGGTAACCGGAGAACTATCTTTGCCAATATCACCGATATCTGCAAGCGAATGAAGAGGTCGGAGGATCACGTTATGCAATTCCTGTTCGCGGAGTTGGTCACGAGTGGTAGTGTGGACGGAAGCAGGAGATTGGTTATCAAGGGTCGATTCCAGCAGAAACAAATTGAAAACGTTCTGCGAAGATACATCGGTGAGTGGACGACATTTCTATCCATTTTAAATGATTAAATTACTGACAGGATTCGTTAGTCGAATACGTCACTTGCAAAACGTGTCGCAGTCCAGACACGGAGCTCAACAAGGGAGAGAACCGTCTTTATTTCGTTACATGCAATTCCTGCGGTAGTAGACGCTCAGTCACTGCGATCAAAACTGGCTTCCGCGGCCAGGTTGGAAGACGGAAGAAGCAACAGGGCTAAAAATGCATACTTACTTCTTTCGGCGTCCAGATTCATGGTTCACTATGACCTGTTCTTTTTGTTATAAGTCCAATGCAATGCGCTCTCCTCATGATTTGACCGAGTTTATTTTCATCCACCCCGATATTACTTCGTTTAACGATTTTCTGTTGTCTATCCCTTGTTCGCTTCCTGATGGGAAAGAAAAGAACATGCCTCTCCGTGTCCTTTTTCAACCTTCTTCGTTTCATAATTTTACCTCGCAAAAGCAACACAATCCCATGAATTGCCGTCGTGATCTTCAAAATGCTTTTTGGCAACTCACTTTCAATTAATTTCCTCCCTATTCTCTTCGTTTCTCGCAACTCAAGCTTTATGTTTTCTCCCTCCATAATGAACATGTATGTGTCTTTAGAAATTGGGCTACGTTAGAAAGGGAACACAAATATGGTAAGGGAGATGAAGATATATGTGGGCGAAAATTGACAGAAAGATAATGGATTTAGATTGAGCAAAATTCGAATGAAAATACGACTGATATACTTCAAAAAACATCCCCACGCGGTTCAATAACACAGTGGTTACGTGAACAGCTAGCACACGAAGTGTCAGGGGATGGTGAACTCGGTTGAGGCGGATGGAAGGCGAAGACAACTGGGTATCCTTGAGGCGGATACTGCTTTTTATCCATGCGAAAAGAAGGGTGCTAACCTTGGGTCATACACAGATAACACAGATAATATTAGCACATATCGCAAAGCTTGGATCGTGAATACCTCGTAGACTCTGTTGAATAGATACGGCCTTACGCTGTATAGAATAGGCATGTGCCCGTCCTCTAGGATGGGGAGTCTACCCCTGAACCTGCCGCGGCTCTGCAGAAACTTCCGCTCCGATCCCGACTTGATGCCCAAACCACACAGCTGCTTTGAGACAATTGAACATGCACCAAAACAAGAGAGTCAACCTTCTAAACGATGAAAGAGATACAAAGATACCGCCATTGCAAGAGTCCTTCCTGCTGTCCTTGATTCCCTCAACCGTCAATCTAACATTATATAAAGCTCAATGTCCTATTCTGTGGCCGATCTGGCTTTGGCAGACCTTTGTAGAAAAACGGCACTGACAAAAGAATGGAAGTACTTTTTCTTCTTCTTACTTAAACTTTCATCGATACTGAGTCTCCGGTGCAAACACACCAGTGCCCGTATTTCGTTGCAACCTCTTCATAGTTCGGAAAAGCCGGCGGACGGCAGTTTCTTGTTATTCCCCCAAGCAGGCCCTTAACAACTAAGATGCAATAATTGCTATTCGGGTACGGATCATACAATCCCCAGCATTTCACTTCAGCGGCTTTCGAATCAATGTTATGTTGACGCAGGGGTAGGTAGAGCAGGCGAAAATAAGCTGTTGCACCGCGAGAGCCCCTGCATGTTTCAATTTTTCCCCGAATGACGGCCGAAAAACTGAGTTCCGTCGGATTCCGGCCGGATCATGTCAGGCAGATCTGGGATATATTTTACGGGACTTCACCACTACCACACGCGAACGACGGGGTTCAGCAGCACCGGTTGGCGAATACGATGATATTGAGACCTGCCGTCGTCAATAATAACTTCAGCGTACTCAATGTCACATACCTTGTTGGGGGGAAGGGGTTGAATGTTTTTGCATTCATGGTAGATGTAATTACTTGGAGGATTGGAGTGCAATTGCTAGCATTTTACAACTTTATCTTCGTGTGCAACGACCGCCATCCATGTGCTTTCGACTCCAGAGGAGTGATAAGTGTGCTTCACGAGCCGATGTCATGGCTAACATAGCCCACTACCACAATCCATATTACAATACACTGATAAGGACACGTGGTGCCAATTTCTCCAGCTTTGATTCCTATTTTTTATTTTGGTCACTATGGCGTTGGGAAGAAAGCGCCCCCCCATATCAAGTTACACTGGATGCCCAGCTACCTGCAATTTGATCCGTTATGGTATGATCGCTGAGGCTGAAGACTCTATCTAACATGTTCTTCTAAACCCTGATGCTTGGGAAGACGTGGTTGCTCATACCCTGTCGCGCCGTTGAAACTCTTTTACGAGTATTCAGGAACCAACCACAAATTCGAAAGGTCAAAAAGCGTGAAAAGTGGATCCTTGTTTCGTCGTAACAATTTCCATCGTAAGTACCAAGATCTGGCTGATCTTGTGCGGTGGAGTTTCCTGAAGGAAACTCTAAACTGGCCCACACATCATCCCTTACTCTCCATTCCAGATGGAGATTGAGGAGGCGAAGTTGTTGTTGCCAAAGCAGAGTAGATGTGGTGGCTCAAACGTGGCTAGCGGTGCGATATATCCCAATGGCAAATCTAGAAGGTTGAGTTTTCTCGCTTGCAAGAGTCGGTAGGCGTTCCATTTAGTCCATCTTGGCCAAATGTAGTTGTGATCAGTTCGTTGTTCACCACAGGCAGGACTTCGTGTAGTTGACTTTGGTCGTTGGCTGTTGGGCTATGATGTGGTGAGCGCCGCTAGACAATCAGAAAAAGACATACCCCACCTGTGTGAACATCCAAAAGCAGCACAGGGAGGACGGGTAAAATGTTGCGAGAACGAACTTGCTGACGCGCTCTGTACCTTCTCAAGAAACGGAGGATAATTAAAGAGAAGCAAGGATGAGAAAGTAGGGACAAAATATGAAAAAAAAAAAATGATAATTTACGTAGAATACGCACTCTGGTCTTGGGGGTCTTGGCTATCACTTGCTCAAGACATTGGAAGAATGACGTCTGCAGTGGCACGACGCCCCCATTCCACTGTCTACCAGTCGGAAGGTTCCTGGAGCGAAGAAGGAAACCTGAAGACGATGTTCCACATATCAAGAACTATTAAAGAATAGGCCTTCAAAAACAAGGACGACAAGTCATTGGGAACACGCCGGATCTAGCCATCTGCCAAGTTAACACCAGTTCTGACTCTGCTCGAGGCGGAAATCCAAGGCCCCACGATCCGATCGAGAACAGCGGGGAATGTACGGGCTCCATACATCTAATTATTGCATCAACAACGCTCCTGCGGCTCTAGATCGGCCTTTGCAGCCAACAATCTGTAACCTCTTGGCCAGCGCATATCTGAATCCCTACGTCGATGACCTTTGGGAATTTTCGGCGGAAAGGCAAGTGGAAGAACATATCCTCGCTTTTGTTCATCCAACAACAGGTTGATGCGTTTGTGCCTATGGTGGTGTCACGGTTTATCTTGAAGGGGCGCGATGGTAGGAAGGCATCCAAGATGTAATGCTGACGCGGTTATGGTGATGTGTTAAATCCCAACGGCAACCGATTCTGTGCCATCTATTGAACGAATTTCTTTCCAGTCCTTCTTACATGGGCGCAACATCTGTGTTGGTTATGGAGGGTAGGCATGGCGCTTCAAAGGCGTGGTGTGCTTTATTTTCCAGTCCTTCGTTTTAAATACGACCAATAACTTCATAAGGTTTGGTAAGACATTGAAATTATTTTTGGTATTACTTTGTCATTGAGAAATGGCCTGAAATGGGCACATATGCACCGGCAGCTTGCTTCATTCAGAAACCATGTGTGACACATGTTTCCCCTGAAGCCACCTTGCAATCCCAGGAACAGTTCAAAATCGTTGTGGTGAGACAAGCCCCCCCCAAAACAAAAAAAAAATTGCGCCGTCGACCAAAACGAAATATGTAAATGAATGAACAAATTTACTGGATACCAATGCTCCCATATTGAGAATCGAAAAATACGTCTCAAAGATTTCAGATATATTCATTCAAGACTCCTTCCCTTCTCTGGCCTTTGAGAGATGTAATTAAATTAAAAATTATCCGAAAATACATTAATTCCACACTAAACATGGTGGAACGGTGGATTGGAAAAAAAAGTGTGCAAGGAGAAGGGAGGCCAAATTCGCCGCGCACACACATCCCACGCGCAAGTTTATGATATCCCTTAGTAATCGTAACGGTAACAGAAAGGTACTCCGCCAATGCTTGCTCCACCCAGGGTATCCAGGATTTGGCGAATTCTAACGTCGGGTCTGATGCCAGCCATCGAGATAACAGTGTCAAGGGTCAGTGGTGTACCACGGGAGTCGACTCCATTGATGGTCGTCCAGCGGGCCCGATCCTCATTCTGCCAGACGCGGAAATTTCTATCAATAAATGCGTGGTGCATGAAGAAGATTGGGTCGCTGGGGCTGCCGGCGACGTCCATCATAACGCTGCCAATACCGTTATGGCCGTAGCCGTGGGGACTATAAAATTCGACCACTTGTATTAGCATATCTGAACGTTTTCCCACTGGGAGATTATCTGAGGAAAATAGTTCCTAGGGAAACACTCACCCAGTCTCCGCACAGCTGTGCATAGCCGCATAGTTGGTTCTTCGGTTGCAAGCAATTACGAAATCATTGTTGCATTGGGCTGTCTGCTCCTCGTTGACGGCACGGGAAAGGCAGTGGGGCCTATTTGAAAGACCGGGGCCGATATTGCAAGTAATACCAGCAAACACACCGTCCGTGATGCAGACTCCCTGTCCGTTGCGAGGACCTGGAAGAGAACCGAAGTAGTCACGGGTGAACACGGGCGCTTGGGCAAAGCGACCAGCGTCTTTGGTTTCGTCCCACCAAGGGTAATTTCTGTTAAACCCGCATTCGTCCCTGAGAACCTGCTCGAAAGTCCACACAAAGTAACGGTGCCAGATAAGGAACATGTCATTTTGGTGGATCTCGGAGAGCTTTTGTTGATGCAGGCGGGCAAAATCCTCGTAGCGGTTTGTGGCAGATGAGAAACGGCCAGATGGTGGGCGGTTCATCAAGCATTTGACAGCATTTAAGAATGCCAATCGGTCGTCGTGTGAAGTGCGGCGCCATTCAGTGCGCATATTAGTTCTGCCGACGCATGCTGCAGCAAATGTTTGAAAGGTAGGCTCAGTAGGCTCAGACGGAGATAGCTTGGGGTTCGGGTTCGGGGCCGGGCTCAGCTTCGGGTTTGGGTTTGGGTCCAAAGGAGGACGGATCAGTTTCCCAATGAGATCCTTTCCCTTCTTAGCATCTTCGAGAGAGATAGTATGGAACTTGCCGAACGACGATAAGGGTAGGCTGGGGCTCAGATTAGCAAGAATTTCCTTCAATGATGCGGAAGCCACTGAGGCACCAAGAAGCAGTAGTGTCCACCGCATGGTGTGAGTGTGGGTGGGTGAAGATATGAAGTTGAGGGTTTCAAACGAATGACTGGGTTAAAAAAAAAAAATAACCAAAGCAAGAAACAAAAAAGCTACATTTTGTCCGGGGGAATGCATCTCTATTTCAATGGCTGTCGTGTCTACCTTCTCAAGGCGGGTATTTCTCCAAGAAGTCGAGGAAACCGCTCCTCAGCCTCTAAAGGAAGCGACTCCATGCATGTCTTAGGTGGTAGCGTTCTTTCTGATGCTGCTAAACTAGGGCCTTGTTCTGGAGGCTTTGTATGGTGGGAGACTCCACTATTTCCCCCGTGGCTGGGATTGAATTTTGTGGCTACGGCTCTCAGGCTAGCACTGGCGAGGACCAAGGTTGGGGGCCCACCAATGAAAAATGCTTCCAATAGAAAGGTTTCCAGAATCGAGTTGTGACCAAGCAGAAGCGAGCACAAAGTCTCAATTATCAGAATAATAATAGACCCTGCTGAACAATGATTCACCATTATTTCCTGGTGACGGTATGACAACTGAATGCACTAATGTTGATTCACATTAGCGCCCTGTGCAAGAAATGCTTGTCCAGGAAGGTGTGCTGGACTTTCTGGTTCTCGCCCACGAGCTTTGCATCAGGATCTCGGCGTTCGCCAATAATAACGAATTGCAGTTTTTGTGGCGGAAAACTGGCAGACTGCAGCAGATTCTTGAGCCGTTCATCAACCGACGCTAGCAAGCTGTCAGGCCATGCAGAATGGAAGCCAACACCATACCAATGCCATTTTTATTCGTGCCAATTGCTGCAAACATCTTCACAGGCGACTTTGCAATTGCTGGTTGAAGTATACAAAAGTATCGCTGCGCTGGACCAATCAATGCAATGCCTTTTTATTGCTCCCGAATGCACATTTCGACCAGAATCAACCAGTGAGGTTTCCCTGATTCATGGAGTCCTCCGTATTTTCAAAGCCGAGGAGGTAAAAATATCCTGTCAGTTTGGCAGAAAAAGAAAAAGCAAAACAGGCTTCCTGCAAACAGGATATCTGCCTGTCCTCCCCTTGCATTCCTTCGTGGGAGGGGCCACCTCCAAGACTATTTCGCGTGGAGTCTTGTGCTCTCCAAGCCATGTGCTCGTTGTCTCGGATTTTTCGAGCCCGGCGGTTTACATAGCGAACGCGTGATCCGCGAACTGAGCACAGTGGCAACTCGGATCTGACCCGAAGGATGGAATACGGCAGTGGAGCAAATCGCCTGCGTCCCAAGCCTAGAACGTGCAAGTCTTAATTGGATCGAGCGTTAGTTTGCGCCGGGGTGAGTTGTACGATGGAGTCGTAGTGGAATGAACTCCGTACACGATGCCGAGGCGCTAATCTCCAGTGGGAAACCTCACCCAGGGAAAAGGGGCCGGGTCACGGGCCATCACAGACGCCTTCTCATGAACAGCGTTTGGCGCCGCAACGCTCAAAAGACACGATTGTCATTCTTCTGCTTTGCGAATCCTGATTCTATTTTTATGCAACGGCATCTCCGGTCCAGTAGAGAGCGATGCCGGGGCGCCCTTCTTTCAAGTCGACAAGGCTCCAAAAATCATGCCTTGCCAAGCGGGGGACCCCTGCATTCGTGTGCAATTACTCTGTAATTCTTCCGAAAATCCTAGGATACCGGACCCAGCGGAAGATTCAACGGGCGATAAGATGTATCTCCCAAAGTGCGTCACTTGGGTTCCGCGGACAAATCCTTCGACCCCTGTTCCATCGGCTTAGGAACGACAATCTAGCCATCGAACAGGAATGTGAAAAGTTGAAGTTGTTGAAGCGCTCTGTCGTTTAGAAGGCTCTTGTTTGTATCCTCTAAGCTCCATCACTGGCGAACAGTGGCGTGATGATCATCGATGTAAAAAATCCCTAGCCGGCAACGAAAATGATTTTGCTTCTGTTTACTAAAAGTCTCAACACACATTATCGAATGTTGAAGCTCAAAAATGTTACCGTCGGCGATTTTCTGCAGACGCCGACGACACGAAATTTGGGATCCATGGATAGCTAGTTACGCAGGCATGATCTCATAACTAGCTGGCCGTGCAGTAACCCTAGCCCACAGGCCTGCGCAGAAACCCCGCACATTACATCATCCAGCAGGAACGCGCAGACGCAGTAATCTGTAGATTTTTGAAAATGATTGCTGTTATTCTTCGTCGGCCATAAATTACACTATTTCTTGCATCAATGAGAGCCCATACTCAAATATTATCTTTTGACTTCGATAAGCTTTCTCGTACCTGAACAAACGGTAATTTTCGCTCAAACGGTGGAAAGCTTATGATTGGTCTAACTCTCGTGGACGAGATTTTTGAAGCTTAATCCTGTGGAGGGTACTTTGTATGCACGGTGCATTCCGCGAAGAAAACCATATTGAAGGAATGAATGATTTATGGTTGACAACAAAAACATCGAGTGCGTCCCCATCCTCGATGCCTCAAACATAATCCAAGACAATCATCGTCCCCAAGTTCCAGCGAATCGCTCTTTGGCAGATTACGAGCTAGTATCAACGAGTGGCTGTAGTGGTGGAATAGTGGCTCACGCCGTCTATCTCGATCAACACCTTACTGAAAGAGGAAATGATTTCTTACGAGGAACGGTACGGATTTTCCATCCGGAATTCAGCACCTTACATGCTACCTCCAGATCGCCAACGGCTACATGGCCCCAGAGTAAACAACAAAACGTCCATTGGATCACAAACAGGCAAGTTTATCCTCACCTGACTCAATCATCTTGTAAACCGGCTATCCCATCCACTGTTTCTGGTCTCGTTTCTGGTTTGGCAATCTATGAATCCACCCAAAGCCCAACCCAAGGAGGAATTTAAAGTTTGGCTCTATCTTCATGTCTCACCAGACAGCTGATGTCTGACATTATTACGGAGTACAACAGTTATGCTCAGCCGCCACCGCTAGTTGGTCTGTAATTAACGAGCTTGCATGGGTAATAGGTCATCGACGAGATGGAACCAGGGTTACATCCATCTCTCTCATATCCCAGGTACAGTAAGGTCAGGCAATCGACCTTGGAAATCTCGCTCTCGAGGATGAGCAGAAAGAATCCTTCTTCCCCTCACCTATAACTAAAAGAAAAGAAAGAAAGCAGTTATCGAGATAAATAGAAAAAGGGGTAGGAAAGACCACATACAAAGAACTAGGACCTAATGAAGAGAGGAGTAGGAGAAAGTCGGAAAAATTTTTCATTAAAATGGAACCTACTCTTGCAACAATACTGAGGCATCACCACGTTAACCACCAGACTGACCCTTCACCCAAGAGAGTCCTGAGCTGGTGTCGGAGTGCTGACAATTCCTGGCAGAGTAGCGATGCAAGTCCTTGATAGACAGATGACATAAATGTTTTGTCCATCAGGTTAACGAGTCAGCCCATTTATTCTAATAATATTCCGAACACCCTCTCTACTCCGTACTTCGTGTGCCCATTCGACCTCCTCCATTGTTCTGGTGACCTAGGTCACACTGCAGCGTCACACAGCCCGATAAATAATGAAAGAAAATAAAAATGAGCCCATCTGGACATAAATTGTCTTACAACTTAGACCTCCGCGGGCTGACGAAAGGATTTGATGATTATCGCCAGCTCTGTTGACATCTCCGGAGGGTGGTCAGCGAAAGAGAGGTAAGAATAAGAACTAAGCTTTCAGGGGTAAATATGCATGATGAAAAGCACATGTTTGCCGTTATACATCGACTGGATCGACTCGAGAAACATACACAGCTTCTCAACTATCAACCCATTTTATCAACCACATATTGTGGATAAGTGTCTGCAAAGTTGAAGATTGGGAGTACTATGTAACTATGCTTGAGGAAGATCACTGTGTCCCCCGATTCCGCTCCTTGGGGCTTGAGCACTCATATTCACTCATCTTGCTTCATGAAATGGAAACTCGAAATAATAGTTTACATTGACTATATAGATTAGCCACCTCCTTTGGCCCTTCCCGGAGTCCCCCGTCGATCCTCCTTGTGCCTAAAGCCCCTCCTTACACATATAGATATACGAGGTTCATACTCCGTACATACATAGACGGTGATTTTATCGCCCTGTTTGAAAGAACAATTTTCCATCCATTAGCGCCTACTGCGTAGAGATCGTCGCAAATACCGAAGCATTCTACTCCGTCGTCTTTATGGATGCACTTCTCCTCCAAACAAATCCCGGCTGCGACCCCCTGACGACGATCATGCCCAGGTGATCTTCTTCTGTTGGGGGATTGGATTGGGTGATTCGTGCCCTCTATACCACCACGGCGCTGGTTGGTGATCGAGCTCTTTTGCCCTAGTGGCCGAATATCTTCAGCAGCCTTAACTGCAAAAGTCACGGGATTGCAATCACACATCCTCTGGCGGCGAGGCACGATTATTAAACTAGTGTACCTTTTCCGTCAACAATTTCATGATTTTATATCGGCTTCATATTGCCAATCTGCATCAGATATTGGCCTAACCAAAGCGCTGGACGCTACTTGTGACTTGCGGCTCGACAAAAAGATAGACTCCTGGAATGAGTGGTGATAGTCTTGATAGCTTATTCCCTAGTCTCCACACAAGAACTCCCTAGCATGACGATCGGCCTGGTATCTTCAGTCTGATCGTCCATGGACCATGAAGGGTGGGATGGAGACCACTATTGGATCCGGCTCGCGCGGTTGAGCAGCACTTGATAGTTCTAGCAATATGTCCCCTGCCTGTGACCGCAAGTGTAGCGGCATCGAGCCTTTTTAGCTCGGGAAGGAGAAAACTTTGCATTCCGCAACTCATAGTTTGATCGTCCTGGAGTGGATGAATGTAGCTTCAACAGTCATCCATCCGTGTGGTCTCCTGGGAACTCAGCCGGCGTTTCCCTCGGTAATATCATGACTATGAATGTCACTATCATAATAACGTGGTGAATGCACGACAATTGGGCCCGTAATCTACCCTGGTGGATAAATCAAGCTCGGGTTTCTCCCGTCAAGTCCACCGCTGTTGCCCCCTGAAGCATCCATATAATTGGCATATCTGCAGAGGGTCTGACGGTCTTTCCGATGTGCAAATGTGCCTCAAATTTAGGGAGGTCTGACATCTTTGTGCATGCACGTTCAATAACCCGCCCGTCAGCTCCATCCTAGGATGATAGAAAATTTCATACATTCTTCGTGGGGACGAATAAGGTATTGCACGTCCTGTACATGCACCATATGGTGTTTATTATCAAGTCTTACTCGGTTCGAGGGCCGTCCGTTCCCGGCCATGCTTTGGCTTCTTCTTTGAGCAGCTAGTTACGTGATAGCACGAACAAGTTGAGCAGTGTGAGGAATTCAGCTAAGTTTTATTTAACCATTCGTCGATGGTCGATCGAGATAATGCAAATAAAGCTTCGACTATAGAATGACGATGAACGTCCTCTGTTTCTGTATACAGCATCATGCCGTGCTGCAAAGGTACTATTCCTGCCATTGATACCAACATGGTGAACTTGGATGGGTTTCCGTCAGTTGTTTATGCTGGCACCGATGGTAACTATCCCAGACAATGTTTGGGTTGTGGATACCTTTTATTTTCTGTTTTCAATTGCTTCATTCGTCGATGAGGTGAGCTTGGTTCCTTAACCACAAATGTTCAAGACAAAAAGGGCGTGGGCAAATTTGGAAGAAAAAGTATGCCAGAGTTGTGAGACCTGCAGGTCTTAGCTTAAATATTAATCCTCCACCATATAACTTGTCACGTAGCTAGCAACCTTTCAATCAAGCAAGCTTTACACCTTCCACAAAAGTTTAGTGATTAGGGGTCGCGTATATATTTATATATATTGCATAAAGTACATCTACATGCATCATGTACTTCGACATTATCAATTTATTTCACATCGGAGACAAGAAGCCAATGGGTTTTTTCAACCAGGCAATGCAAGATGAAGGAAACCAGATCAGGACCAAGAATAAAAAACCACATTAAAAATTGGGGAATCGCAGTCATTAAGGAACAGGCTAGACAGATCAAGGGGTTTTTACGTTTTTATTTATTTTTCCCCCCGCTCGCAAAAGGGAAACCAAACGCACACTTGCCGCAAATTGGAAACTAGGTCATTAATATCATCTCACATATCAAAGTTCGATCGACCGGTAGCATTATCCTTCTTTCAACCATATATGAGATTTACGCCCCTCCGCCGGCCCCACCGTTCGCCATGACCCAAGCTGCAAACGAAGACGGGTTCCTTGTCTGTAAATATACGCTTCCAGGACCAGTAAATTTGCAAACCAGCCCTTCACCGGAGGTCATCCCAGAGATGAGACCACCGGAAGCGACCCGCTCCATGACATACTTGCAGCTCCAGGCGACGAGGTGGCCATTGTCGACGTTGTACTTCTCACCATCCGCAAGCTGCCAGTTTCGAAGAGAGAAATTATCAGTATAAATATATATATATATCTTCTTTCTACTTTCCACTTTTTCTTCCTTGGGATATATGGATTTTTCCTCCTTGTTGGAGAAAGAAAAACTTCACTTACGTCTTTCTTGATAATCGCACCAAAACTCTGCATGAACAACAGGCCCATCCCGGAGATTTTATACACAAACAATCCCTCGCCGGAGAATAATGCTTTACTTAGACCCTGGTTCTTGTAATCCTTGACAACGCCCTGAGTAGCGGCTAAGAATGCATCTTTGCCAACAGACCATGTCTCATGGCCGTTGAGACGCAAAACGCTGATGTCACCAAGCATTGTCGGAGCGAGGAGAAGTTCTCCAGGCCCCGTATACGTCGAACTTGACATCTCTCCACCAGCAATGAGTTTCTTCATCGAAAATTTGATGGATCCTTTCAGAGTCATGGTGGGAGACATTGCAATCATTGCGCCTGTGGCAGGAAATTTTAGTTCACTGAAAGCACAACCGACGAAATAAGTAATGTATCGAAGATGACTATTCTGCACGTACCTGGCTTAGCGGTCAGTGGGCATCCCATAGCCAACTGGATGGTCAAGATGGTATTCGAGTCGCGGTGACTAATCCGATAGCTACCACCATTGAATGTGCCAACATCATCCGCGGATGTAGACTGCACGCCAACAAATTGACTCGGGGGTGGAGCTCCATCAGGTCCAAGGGGCGATTTTTCAGGAAGAGGTGAAGCTTGAGGTGGAGGCGGCGGAGAGGTTTGACCACCAGCTGGAGGGGGAGGAAATGATGGGCTAGTTTGGCCTCCTGGGGCTGGATAGTTGTAGTTCTGGGGCGGGGGAGGATATGCGACTGGAAAATTCAGTGTATGTTGTTTTCAGGAATTGCGCAAACAAAATGAGGGCTTTAAGGAAGCCTTTTGCCAAAATCATCATGATGCGCAAAGAGGGAGATATCAAAAGTGCGTACCTTGTGGCTGGTTCGGGGCTGGATGTATTGGTACTCATGTTAGATCACTAGTAACGCCAATTATTCATAAAGGAATTGAACAGGAAATCCTACGGGGATAGTATCCTCCGTGGGGAGGCTGCCCTTGGGGTTGGTGTGCCATTCTCGAGTATGCTCAGTACAAGCTGCTGGGTAAAGCGGGGGAAAGGATAACAAATACGATTACTTCGAGAAACAATAATAAATAACGCCGTTATGACATATAAAATCAAAATGTATAAAATATTAAATCAAACAGTTCAAAGCTATGAATCAAAAATGAGGGGTTATAGGGCGAATCCCAAAGCACTGATAGATGAAGAAAGCTGAAAGGTTATCCTGAGAGGGGAGAAGAGATGAATGATATTTATGCGTCGCCAGATCGTCAGCCAAAGAGTTTCCTTCCGACCCAAGACCTGCTTGGACCTCTTTAGGCCTCGGCGGCTAGGCAATGACTTGGTTGGATCAGCTGGAGGGTCTGCTGTTCGCGAACAGGGGAAAGGATCGATTTAAATTTCCTAGAAGGCTATACTGGAAAAGGCCAGAGGCTCGCCATGCACAGCGGCGATGCTGGGAGCTTTGTCGATCCGAGAACGAGAAGTATTGATCAGCTCCACTAACGAAGTATTTGAATTCTGACAATGAAGACTAGCAGATTAAGGAAGATATTTTGACACGGCAAGTCCTCTGGTGGGTACACTGGAACTTGTGATTGGTTGAAGGCTTTCATCCATCGGTTTAGAGAGGTTTAAATATAACTCAAACGAATGGGCGCTAAGTGCATGATAGACATTCTCACCTGCGTAAACCGTGCTAAAAATTGGTCCAGTATGTAGGGCGGCTGGCATACTGTGACAAATTGACACCTCTACGCCGATATTGGCGGTCAAGCTCCCCAAGTGAAGCAGGCAGCATATGAAGGCGGGACGGACAAAGCTAGGAACCTACGCCTGGTGATATACTCGTTCAAGGCGTAAGAGCTTCTTCATCCATTTGACCTCACCAATAAAAGGCACTGAAGGG